ACGACATATGTATTTGCAATTAAGTTTTGCTTACCGAGGGAGTTCTGCGAAGTTCGATTCCCAGCAGCCATACACACGCTCGATGGCTTTTCTCCTTCCGTGCCACGCCTTCTTGTAGCTGACATCGACTTTCCAGCACTGTTTCACATCGGCCTGGATAAGTCTAATGTTGTAGTCCAGTTTCTTTTCAATCTTGTTAATTACAAGATTTGAAATCATACGAGCGGTTACATTTCTGTGGTCATTTCTCTCGACCCGTTGCATACAAGTGTGTCTGTCAGTCCATTCAGTTATTTCCCACATTTCATGAACCCGTTTCTTAGTCACCCGAGCTTTCCACACACAAGGTTCATCTTCATTAGATCTGCACACCACTTTGAATGACTTCTGATTAGAATCTATTGTCCGAACCGCCCTCAGCCTATCAACGTTCCAAGCCAACAGACCCCATTGTGCTTCTTCCTTGCTTTTAAAAACTGTACCCAAACGTATGGTCTCAATGTCATCATTCCAACGTGGAAGAGCATACTCGTTCTCATCTATCTTCGATGGCTCCCATTCACCCATCTCGCGATAAATGTGGCGACCACCACTAGGAAGAGGGTCTTCCTCTTCAATCAATTCGGGTTCACTCTCCTCATTTATCGATCTGTCTGATTCGCTTTCGGAGGTCTCATCTGTGAAATCATCTTCACCAGGAACGAAATCTTCATCGCCTTCTTCTTCTTCCCAGTTCTCATTTTCCCATTGCATTGTTGAGCTTGTCCCTTCTCCAAAATTACGTAGATGGGAAGTCGACGTACCATCAACATCCACCTCTCCCCCGTAACACCCCCACACATCCTCAACCTGTGTAACCGGTGTAATTGCCTCCAACGATAAATGCAAATACACCGTGGACATAGGAGTAAGGTAATAAATATACTGAAGAACACTTTCGTTATTGAGTCTTAAGAAATTCAACGAACCATCGCGTTGCTCAACTATTAAAGTAATCTCCTTCATTGTCCAACCTTCTCCGAACCAACAATTTTCATTAATCATTTCTACCAATTGTTGATATGATATCCTCTCCGGAATAAACAATGACCCATCCGGACGATCTTTAAATAAAACAAATTCACTTAACCTTTCCGTCGCAAAATGCCAGTACAAATTAACAAAATATGGACCGGAAAATGCCATTAATACCTGTTGCAAAAAGACACTTTCAATTCTTTCCAATTACAACAACACATGGTGTCTAATATCTAATCCAACACCAAAAAAATTCAATTATTTCGGATAAATTTGAAAGCCCCAATTCTAACCCTAATTTCGAAAACCCTAAGCCCAACAACAACCAACAAATACACAATTAACAATCTATAACAAAATTCCAATCTCCAATTCAACATATACACATATTCGATAAACAATTAACAATTCCTAATGTCCAAACAACACCACATTCAAACATATTATAACAATTCCAATTTCCAAACAACTCCAAACAATGTAAAAAGTTAAGATAAGCCAATATACCTTGTGCGAATGAATTAACCGGAAATGAGACTCCTGTCGTTGTTATCGATTTGCGTCGGGTATGATTGGATCGTGTTTTTTTTTTCCACCGGAAATGAGTCGCAGAAGGGAAAAAAATCCGCTGCTGAAGAGAACGAGATGCGCAAATGAGGGAGAAGAGAGATTTTTTTTTTTATATTTTATTGTAAAACGTATTTTCAGAATACGTTTTACTTTTAATTATTTGTAAAACGTATTCGTAGAATACGTTTCTATTTCTTTATTTTTTTTATTGATAAATTCAAATTTATAAACGTATTTTGAAAATACGTTTTATAATTACTATTTTTAATTCTATTCCACTATGAAACGGAAAATATTTTATTTTTACTTTTAAAAAATATTAGTAAAACGTATTACGAGAATACGTTTTTCTAATAAAATTTTATTAGAAAAACGTATTCTAAGAATACGTGCTTTTGATTTTTTTCCACTTCTTTTTTTTTTGTTTTTGTCCACTTATTTTTTTTTGTTTTTTAATAAAAAAATCACCCAAGTTCCTCGAATGTAATGACCTAATTAAATGCACACAGCACCCGTCTACGGTGCTCGCTGCTCCTTGCCGAGTAGGGCTGAATATGAGACTTGGAGAATTCCAAATTGTTCCGAAAATCGAACCGAAATCACTCCGAACTGAAAAATAACCGTTGACCATTTGACTTTCTCTGAACCCAACCTAATCAAAAAAATAATTGGTACAATTCTGGAGATTTCACAATTATCTGTACCAAGAACTGAACCGAACCGTAACATACCGTACCGAACCCAAGAACCAAAATTAAGGATCGAATTATAAAATAAGATGTGAGTTACCAATATATTTTATGTCAACTTTGATACTATATAATCTGATAATATTTAAAATGCAAATAAAATATATTAATAACAATTAAGCTTTAGTTAAATTTCATGCTTAGTAATACTTGATCTACAATTGAATATTTCATGTTTAAAAAATATATATATATCTAAAATAGTATGAAAGATTAAATAGATGGTTTTGTAAAAAAATATTTTAGTTTTACTTAAATTTGTCGATACTTAGACTTATTCTATCTTATAACTAACATGGTATGAAAGATTAAATAAATATTACTTGTAATGAAAAACTATACTATATTTTGTTGGAATTTTAAATTTTCAATGCCAGTTGTACAAATTGAGTCTAAACTAAAATTTAGAGTTACTTTTAAAGTTGATTTAAAAATAAAATTTTCAGTATGGTGAAATATTGATGAATGTTGGATTAAAAAAACATATAAAAATTAAAATATAACTAGGTGATAATTCAAATTTTTTTTAAAAATATTCAGAAATCTCCCAATATCCGAACCAAACCAAACCAAATCGAACTGTTCTGATAGTTCCGAATATCAAACCGAAAAATCAGATCTCCGAACCGAACCGAACCGAACCGATTTTTTTAGTACAATTCTGGAGATCGAATTTTAGTGATCTCCAAATTTTGGTACTATTTTGGAGATTTGCTAATATCCGAACCGTACCGACCCATGCTCAATGCCGTGGACCTTTAGTCAACCATCGTCTCTGCACCACCATGATAGGGTGATGCGAATGAAGGTCGACTTCTCAAGAACGCCTATAGCCGTGTTACAATATATGTGTGTGATTACACGGGAAACCTATGAACTGAATATGGTGATTTCAATTATTACAACTTTAACTTAATCTGAAACGGAAATTACAAAAGAAAACGAAAGACAAGCCGAGGCGATTGCTGTTTCCACAAGACAAAAACGCCCCGTATAGTACTAACGGATTCAGATGTCTCATCCCCAAAGATACATCAGCTGACATCTCGCCAGCTGTAGCACATCAGTTTTCAAGCTCATGCTTGTATTGCAGTAGCTGCGCGAGCCGCAGCCGTCGCCTAGTGTCGCTCACGTGACTCCTCACGTTGCCCGCAGCCCAAACGTGCCACAACCAGCCAACCCTCAAACGCGCCCAGCACTACCAGTAGCCATCGCTTGCAGTCCAACAGCCGCAGCCCCGTGCCCGAGCGAGTCCGGCAACGTCCAGACGTGCCAGGTGATCCCGGCAGTAACTAGATGATCCCAGCTAGCACCGATGGCGCTCAGTCAGTGCCAGCGACCCAGCCCGTACCCGTGCCAAGTCCATGACCGCCGATATTCATTCTTCCCGAGCCGTTTGATCGATTTTCGAGCCTTTGACCTCGTTTTTTGTATTGAGCCTGTTTTTTACCTTTTGAAATAATTTTTTCAAGTTTTTCCTATAAATCCAAGAGTTCCAAATTCTACAAAATTTCCACGATCTACTTAATCGATAATTTTCGACTAAATATGAATTTTCGTGAATTTTCTGAGTTATCAAGGTAATATATTATGAGGATTATCTTGATTAAATGTAGGTGTTTGGAGCCCTCGACCTATGTTTTGCCTCTTGTGTGCTTTGCCTACCTCGTCTACCAGGTGGGTGTTGATAAACTTACTGTGCCATTATTCTTTACAATCGATAGACTTTGTAGTCTATGTATGTACTTGAACCATGACCCTATCGTGGGATGCGGATTCGACTTTCGATATGGTATCCCCGTCAGCGATACGAATTCGGCCGTCGACAGTGCCTATTGAGAGGCAGTCTCCTTTAGCCTAATGACAGACCATGTCTTTGGATGTGGATTCGACCATTGACATGTGCTCCCGTTCTTGGATGCAAATTCGACCTTCAACGGTTATATAGGTGTACACTTGAGCATTTGAGTTGTGATATTTGTTGTGATTCATATACACTAGTGTGTACCCCGTGCGATGCACGAGAATAATATTAAATTAACAATATTATAAATAGACCTCGAGTTTGAGTCACTCAGAGCATGTTTGTTTATAAAATTTTTTGGTTTTGTTTGGATTTTTTGATTTGGTTTGGTTAGTTTTGAAAAAGGTGGTATGGTTAGTTGTTAGTGAGTATATTAAAATAATAATTAAAATTAATTTGATGTAAAAGTAGGAGAAAGAGATTTGAAGTGATGATTAGTTATAATAAGGGTTAAAAACTTTTTCCCATCTGAACTATGACTATTTTGGCGCATCACCATATAAACAAAATTTTTTTAACAAACCACCACCTGAACTATACGGATTTGTCAAATTGCCCTCTATATCGGATATAAAAATGGTTTTGACTAAAAAGGTTGATTTATAAGGGCATCTTGGAAATTTCATATATTTAAAAATATGAAAAGATTAAAGAAAGAAAACAGCAACAACAACGACAGGTTTTTCAAAAGAAAAGAAAAAAGAAAAAAGAAAAGAATAAAGATAGAAAACAACAGCGTCGCGTTCCTATGATGTCGGGGATGCCATCGAGGGAGGCGCCGCTCGAGCTCTCTCCGTCGAGGGATGTCGGACTCTTTCTGATGGAAGGCGAGGGTGCTGCCACTGCCGCCTAAGAAGGTGTCAGACTTTCTGATGGAAGTTGCGGTGGGGATTCGAGCGTGCTGTCCTCTCCGATGGGGATGAACTAGCTGTCGACGGCGTGTCCGTCGATGCCGACTGCGTGGTTACTCTCGGTAGCGGGACTTCCTTGGGCAGAACGTTTTCAGCGGCCGACTTGAGTTGTAGTTGACCAGTGAGTCGTCGTAACTCGTGCCCGTTAACCCGATTTCGCCCACCTGCTCATCTTCTTCATCCTCAAATTACATGGTTCTTTTTTCCCTGTTTTTCTTTTTTATTAATTTTTTTAAACCCAAACAACTTAATCATGCAATATTAAGGTATATATATACAAAGGGTTAAATGGTTTAGATAATGATAAACAAAGCTCTACATGATTGAATTAGATGAACTATTAGATAATGAGTCTCAAAGACACTAGAAACTGTGGGTGACCACTACATTTTTTTGTAGATCGACAAATAAAATAAAATAAAGTGGCATTTAAAAAATGTATAACAAGTTCGTTTCCTAAGTCAAACAAAAAGATAAAATAACGACTTATCTAAGCCATACATATCACCATGATGCGTTAGAATTAATTATTCAACATTTTGAACTGCTGAGGCTTAAATCAAGCAATAGCAATTATCACAACCCTCTAAGCCTCCTCCATTTTTCATCTCACACAAGGAAATAATTACTGTAGTAAAGTAACGTGAATATCTTTTAATTTTCTAGCATAAATTTTTCTGGTGTTAGCACTTTTTGCTGCTACTGTTTTTTTTTTCTTTTCATTTTTCTTTTTCTTTGAAACACGCTGCTGCTGTTTTACTTTCTTTATTCTTTTCATTTTTCTTTTTTGTTTTTGAAAATATATGAAATTTCCGAAATGCCCTTATGAATCAGCCTTTTTTAGTCCAAAACCATTTTTATATCCGGTGTAGAGGGCAATTTGACAAACTCGTATAGTCCAGGTGGTGGTTTGTTAAAAAAAATAGTTTATATGGTGATGCGCCAAAATCGTCATAGTTCGGATGGAAAAAGTTATTAACCATTATAATAATATGAGTGGATGAATAGTGAATTAAGGTTGATGTGGTGTGTATGAATGATTGATTGATATTATTTAATTATATTGATAATTTTGATTATAGTGGGTTGAGTTAAAGTTGAGTTAAAAAAAGTGGTTGAGTTAAAATGTTGGAAATTTTTGGAAAAATTTCATAAACAAACATGCTCTCAATGCCGGAAGTGGAAACTATTATTGATCTTATTTAAAAAGAGGAAAATAAAATAATTATAAATTAAAGAGAAGGATAAACAATACTTAATAATTATAAATTAAAGATTCAGTGTCAAACAATGTAAAATTATTTTGTATAAGAGAATATAAAAATATTTGATTATACCATTTCAAATTTATGATTATACTTTTTTGTACGGTAAGTTTATAATATTTGTAAAAATATTAGTAATTACACGAAAATTAGCTTCTTAAAGTAGATAATGAATTTCTAGTAGTAATTATGAATTGGATTCTATTTTATTTTATTTTTTCAAATCTGTATTAATAAGGGATGAGATTTTTTTAACACATGAGAGTATGCAATGGGATTTTGTAACAGAACATAAGCTCATGTAGATTTATACTAAAAATAGGAAAAAGAAAAACAAATATTTATTGTCAAACAACGGTTTTGATAAACTAAAAAACAGAAAAAAAAGAAACAAATCTTTACACAATTAATGAGACGATTTTTTTGTATATTCAGATTTGTCCAACAATTACTATATGTAGGATATATTTAATGATTTTGGCGGGAAAAAGGTTTCTAAATTTGTAAAATGGTTATTCTTTTTATATAATGATAGATGTTGCGATTCTACTGTCTGGTATTATACTGGATAGATGTGGACGGTATTCGCACGGTGAGCTAGTGATTCGCTCACCCCCATTATTTTATCTCTTTTCAAGTTTAGCTGGTGGCGGGACAAGACGAACGAGTGGGGGTCATTTTACTTGCTTTATTATGATGAATGTTTTGGAGCATGTTTTGAAGTTATTGGATTATTTATGTTTATGAGATTGAGTTTGATTATTATCTCGCATGTGATTTATGTGTTGGACAATGAGATCTCAAGTGTTATTTGGGCAATGAGATCTCAAAGGCTCAGATATGAGTTATGACTTGAGATACCTGTGAAAATGTTTCGAATAACACCATTAAAGGTTTAAAATTGAAAAATGAATTTCAAAAAATTATTTTTGGAAAAAAATCCGGAATTTTCCTTAAAATAAATGGTGCTAAGACCGTTTACGATCACGGATTACGCCGTCGGTCCGTGAACCCAAACTTGTCCGAAACTAGTCTTGGAGATTGGTAAAAAATCATCGAGCAACAGGCCGAAAGCTGAATTGGCGTTAATCCCTAGCCGACAGCCCAGACTACGTCGATCGCCACCGACGCTTGTGGACATCTCCACCCGAACTCGCCGCCGTTCGCACCACATGACCATCACTGTTGCTCCTCACCAGACCCACATGTCTCAGGTGTTCTAATCAATCTACCGTTTTCCGTGTGTAAGCCCTCATCTCTACGATCACGTTGTATAATGGATTTTTTTTAGCTGCATATGTGTTAGGTGTGTTGGTTGTATGTATGTTTTGTGCGTGTCTTGTGCGTGGGTCAATTGTGTGCTTGGTGTTATGCTTTTTATTGTGATAGGTTTTGTGCAAGGATGATGTCTGGTTGGGAGCTGGGTTTAGTAGTGCGATTTGGAATATTTTAAAAATCCATGGGCATCATTTTGGGAATTTGATAATCTCTTGGGATTTATTTGTCACATTATACAATGCTGTCCATATGTATTGTTGTGCACCAACTGTCCGATTTTACTGTTTTGACACTTGGACTATAGCTGTCTAATCTTGCTATCTTTAGAAAACTTGTAGTTTAGCCTCTCATATTTCTGTAGGAACAGGGTACCCAGTTATCTATTTTATGTGAAAAGTTACATTCATAATATGATGTTGTGTAGAACTTTCTCTGTCAAACGCTGTCGTGCGTAAAATCCTTTTTTTTTTTTTTTGTTTTTTGGTTTTTTCAGTATCTTCGTGAAAGTCGTAGAGTTGTCTCTTGGCATTTTTAGAAACAAGAATAAATTCGGTACTTATTTTCCTTCAAAATTTATGTTCCAAATACAAATTCAAAGTTAGTTGTTTTTTGTCATTTGGCAGCATTAGGCTTTTGCTTTTGAACCTTTTTCGGTCCTCTTAACATGATCGTAAGTGTTCATAGTCTTCACAAGAATTGTAGCTCTGTTTCTTGTCTACTCATTATTTTTTAGAATAAATCAAATATCTATGTTAGGTTTAAAAGTTATGTTTAAAGTACACGGGCTGCGCATTATGGTCTTCGTCCAGTTTTGTAGCAACTTACCATATTGTATTCTACATTTTATATTGTCCTAAAATACTCATTTGTATTCCAAGTTTTGTTTCTATTTTATATTATTTTTTCAAATCAGTATAGATAAGGGATGAGATTTTTTAAACACGTGAGACTATGCAATGGGATTTTGTAACAGAAGATAAGCTCGTGTAGATTTATACTAAAAATAGGAAAAAGAAAAACAAATATTTATTGTCAAACAACGGTTTTGATAAACTAAAAAACAGAAAAAAGAGAAACAAATCTTTACACAATTAATGAGCCGATTTTTTTGTATATTCAGTTTTGTCCAACAATTACTATCTGTAGGATATATTTAATGATTTTGGCGGGAAAAAGGTTTCTAAATTTGTAAAAAGGTTATTATTTTTATATAATGATAGATGTTGCGATTCTACTGTCTGGTATTATACTGGATAGATGTGCATGGTATTCGCACGGCGAGCTAGTGATTCGCTCACCCCCATTATTTTATCTCTTTTCAGGTTTAGCTGGTGGCGGGGCAAGACGAACGAGTGGGGGTCATTTTACTTGCTTTATTATGATGAATGTTTTGGAGCATGTTTTGAAGTTATTGGATTATTTATGTTTATGAGATTGAGTTTGATTATTATCTCGCATGTGATTTATGTGTTGGACAATGAGATCTCAAGTGTTATTTGGGCAACGAGAACTCAAAGGCTCAGATATGAGTTATGACTTGAGCTACCTGTGAAAATGTTTCGAGTAACACCATTAAATGTTTAAAATTGAAAAATGAATTTCAAAAAATTATTTTTGAAAAAAAATCCAGAATTTTCCTTAAAATAAATGGTGCTAAGACCGTCTACGATCACGGATTACGCCGTCGTTCCGTGAACCCAAACTTGCCCAAAACTAGTCTTGGAGATTGGTAAAAAATCATCGAGCAACAGCCCGAAAGCTGAATTGGCGTTAATTTCTAGCCAACAGCCCAGACTACGTCGATCGCCACCGACGCTTGTCGACATCTCCACCCGAACTCGCCGCCGTTCGCACCACAGGACCATCACTGTTGCTCCTCACTAGGGGTGAGCATGGGTCGGTACGGTTCGGAGATTGATAAATCTCCAGAACCGAACCGAAGTTCGGAGATCACTAAAATTCGATCTCCAGAACCGTACCAAAAAATCGGTTCGGTCCGGTTCGGAGATTTTTATTTTTCGGTTCGGTTTTCGGGACTATCGGAATGGTTCGGCTCGGTTTGGTTCGGTTCGGATATTCGGAGATTTCTTATCATTTTTTAAATTTTTTTGATTGACCACCTAGTTATATTTTATTTTTTATATGTTTTTTTTTAAATCCAACATTCATCAATACTTCATCATACTAATGATTTTATTTTTAAATCAACTTTAGAAGTAACCCTAAATTTTAGTTAAGACTAAATTCTACTAACATTGAAAATTTAAATTCAAACAAAATATAATACAATTTTATATTAAAGTAATAATTATTTAACCTTCCATACCCTATTAGTTATAAGATAAACTAAGGGTAAGTATACAACTTTAAGTAAAGCTTATTTTTTAAAAAAAATCTTTAACCTTTCATTCCATTTATTTTTTTTTAAACATGAGAAATTTAATTGTAGATCAAGTATTACTAAACATGAAATGTAAGTGAATCTTAGTTGTTATTACTATATTTTATTTGCATTTCAAAAATTCTCAAATTATATAAGATCAAAGTTGACATAAAATATATTAATAACACGCATCTATTTTTATAGTTCGGTTCTTAATTTCGGTTCTTCGGTTCGGTACGGTACAGGACGGTTCGGTTCGGTTCTCGGTACGGATATTTATGAAATCTCCAGAACCGTACCAATTATTTTTTCGGTTCGGTTCGGTTCGGAGAAAGTCAAACGGTCAACGGATATTTTTTCGGTTCGGAGTGATTTCGGTTCGGTTTTCGGTACGGTTCGGAATTCTCCGAGTCCCATGCTCAGCCCTACTCCTCACCAGACCCACATGTCTCAGGTGTTCTGATCAATCTACCGTTTTCCGTGTGTAAGCCCTCATCTCTAGGATCACGTTGTACAATGGATTTTTTTTAGCTGCATATGTGTTAGGTGTGCTGGTTGTATGTATGTTTCGTGCGTGTCTTGTGCGTGGGTCAATTGTGTGCTTGGTGTTATGCTTTTTATTGTGATAGGTTTTGTGCAAGGATGATGTCTGGTTGGGAGCTGGGTTTAGTAGTGCGATTTGGAATATTTTAAAAATCCATGGGCATCATTTTGGGAATTTGATAATCTCTTGGGATTTATTTGTCACATTATACAATGCTGTCCATATGTATTGTTGTGCACCAACTGTCCGATTTTACTGTTTTTACACTTGGACTATAGCTGTCTAACCTTGCTATCTTTAGAAAACTTGTAGTTTAGACTCTCATATTTCTGTAGGAACAGTGTACCCAGTTATCTATTTTATGTGAAAAGTTACATTCATAATATGATGTTGTGCAGAACTTTCTCTGTCAAACGCTGTCGTGCGTAAAATCTAATTTTTTTTTTTATTTTTTTTTTGGTTTTTTCAGTATCTTCATGAAAGTCGTAGAGGTGTCTCTTGACATTTTTAGAAACAAGAATAAATTTGGTACTTATTTTCCTTCAAAATTTATGTTCCAAATACAAATTCAAAGTTAGTTGTTTTTTGTCATTTGGCAGCATTAGGCTTTTGCTTTTGAACCTTTTTCGATCCTCTTAACATGATCGTAAGTGTTCATAGTCTTCACAAGAAGTGTAGCTCTGTTTCTTGTCTTCTCATAATTTTTTAGAATCAATCAAATATCTATGTTAGGTTAAAAGTTATGTTTAAAATACACGGGCTGCGCATTATGGTCTTCGTCCAGTTTTGTGGCAACTTACCATATTGTATTCTACCTTTTATATTGTCTTAGAATACTCATTTGTATTCCAAGTTTTCACCAAAATTGTAGATGTCTCTTGGAGTTTTGTAGGAGTAACAATTAGTTCAATACCTATTTTATATCAAAATTTATACTCAAAATACAAACATTATGTGTGTTGTTTTTTGTCCATTTGACAGCAGTAGTATGCTGACTTTCAACCATTTTCCTTACTCCTGGCTTGCTCGTAGGTTTGTATTCATAAGAGTTTTCAGATGTGTGTTTTCGTATCATATTGGATTTGAAATCACTTGAATACGTGTTCTATTTAAATTTATTTTAGAATTCAAATGAAGCGCATGGTTTGAAGAAAGATAATGGGGAATTTAAGATGATGATATTGACTGGACCTTTAACTTGTAGTTCTATTTTGAGTGCAGTCACAAGAAAAAGTAAGAGAAAAGAAAGAGAGGAAGGACGAAGAAAGGGAGATGCATTTACCAAACTTTACTGTTCACCATATTTTATCTATATATCTATATATATATAATTGCTAGCCTTTCATTTAATTTTACCTCATTAATAAAACTTAATAAATTTTACCTAATAAATAATACAAACTTTCCAAATACAAAAACCATTACTTTTACAAAATACATCAATTTTGGACAGTTACAAAATCTAAACTAATGACCACTATTTTATCTAAGTATATCGATTTAGGTTAATTAGCTAAAAATATTTACTTTTTTAATTTCTTATATAATCATTACTATGCTAACTTAATTATGAATTATTTATTATAGAAACTCATGATTACATAAGCATGTATTCAGAATATAAATTTTTAAAAGAACTTTTTATAAATGTTTATTTGGAATATCTATTGTTTTTGATGATATCACTACAATAATTAATCATGATGAAAATGGAAAATGCAGCACATGTACAACATGGACAAATGCACTAACAACAATACAAAATAAAATCACCAGCTCTGGAAATTGTATCATATAATAGTTATTATTACAATTAATAATTATATTTTACACTAAATGATATGTGAAAGTTACATAAACATAAGAAACTATATTGTAAAAACTTTTTGTTCGAGTAATTTATTATAAAATCAATATAATATTTCTTTATCTGCTTAAGCGATTAGTTTTTAAATAAATAATTTTTTTTAATGGCATAGTAAAATTCTTTAAAATCGCATAAGTAATTGTTATAATAAATTTAATATTTTTTAGCTAATTAATTAGTCATAGTCCCTTAAAATTTCAAAAAATACATTATTTATTTTATTTTATGCAATCAATATAGTGATTCATATACAATCAAATCGTTATGTACTATTTATTTTAACCAATGATCAAATTTTAAAATATAATACCTTTATTTAACTTATAATTTTAATATTATATGCATAAATATAACTTATAATAACATATAATTTTAATATTATATGCATACAAATAACTTATAATACTTAATTTACATCTGTGCAAATGCACATGATCGAATAGTAGTATATATAATTGCTGGCTCATGAGCATTTAATAAAACCTATTAAATTATACCTATGTGGCAATATAATTTTTTTCCTCCAAAAGCCGTTACTTTTTATTTATTTAACCTCTCATTTAATTATTAGATAATCAACACACTAATCACTTCAAAATTACGAAAATTATTTTAAACTTTTGATTTACTTACAGCTGACCATATAATATGTTGACTATTTAACGTGATTAGATGTTGTGGTTACATTTAAATTAACTTCTTTTGGAAAATAAAAAACGTATTTAAAATTCCTAAAAAAATAATAAATAATTCACAAAAAAATATACATACCAAAATATACATTACATCCAATATGATAAACGCAATTTAAAAAAATAAATATTCTAGCTCCTTTAATTATAATTTTGGCTCGCAAAAAAGTACAAGAAAAATCATTAATCTTATATGCATACAAATAACTCACAATATTTTATTTATATCTGTGCAAATGCACAGCTCGAATACTAGTGATTACTTTACTTTGAGTCAAGCCATTTATCAAGTTAAGTTATATTTTATTGTAGGATTGCCATCTTTCACTATTAGGATCATTTAAGCACGAGCATTTATTACAAGTAAATTTACTAAGAGCATCTCCAAAATTATAACTTTGAAAGACAATAATTTTTAACACATGTCAATCAATGATTGTAATGTTAACCCATGTAGGAATAATGTTAAAAGAGTAGAAATTTGAATCAAATTAGTATCTCCAATACATCAATTTGATAAGAAGTTATATGTATAGGTGGACTAATTAAAATAATCATTAATACAAGAACAATAAAAAATTAAATCAAATATAAAGTGAATTGATTAGTCATCATGTTTAACATGGTGTTAGATATTAGAAAGTATGTTCAACATTGTCAACATTAAATGCTATCCACCTCATCATGAAAGAGTTTATGACAAGATGCATTGGAGAATAAATTTGTAACAAACTTTCAAAAGTTGATGACAAGATGCATTGGAGAATAAATTTGTAACAAACTTTCAAAAGTTGATGATATGGATGAATTTTTATAATGTCAAAAGTCACATTGGAGATGCTCTAAACTACTTTTTCAGGTGAGGATTTCTGTTCTCTCATTCATTTTAATCGCTTTATATGATTATTGTTGTATATGCATGTCACAGCTCCTTCAGGGGAATATACATATATGGGCCGACTACTCGGTGCACTAGAGTCGCGCAACAGTATGTTATTGACCTTCGGGTCCAATAATGGGCTGAGATCCAATCTACTAGTGCACCTAGAGCCCATCTACTACTGCTCATGTTCATTTNTTGTTTTTTTTTTTAAGAAACCGCAATCACTATCGTATTACTGATTAGCACAGATTAGCACAGTTGAATAATTGGTTGAGGCGAAATCCGATGGCGTGAAAATGGACCTAGCACCATTTGAAAATTGTTAGCCTTGGAATGTTCCATTCATGGTTTCGGGCTTTTTCAGCCCGAAAATACTGCCACGCACTTTGTCTACTATCAAGAAATGCTAGTACGAAGAGTTCTATACCTAATCAGATCTCCAGATTCTCAGAAAATGGAAATGGGGTCTTCTTGAATGCTACAAAACATGGTAAAGAATTAGTCAAGTGTTATTTTGCACTTCTTTTTGGCATTTAGCTGCAAAATGGGCGCCTGATTTTATGTATATTGTTTGCATAAGAGGAAAAAAATTGTGTCTTGGCTTTTAGTTGAGAAAAATGTATGTAAACTTTTCCTGTTAGAAGCCGCGGCTCACTTCATTCTAGAGCTTTGAAACACTCCTTGTGTCTGAATCTGTTCTGGTTTTAACAATATTGTTGTGCCTCTAGCCTGTTATTAATGTTTTTTTTGGTTTAGGGGGTACAATAATATATCGCATGGGAGTTTCACCTTTCAGTGCGGTCAAATGGGGGTCAATCAGTACACCCAGTTTACGCGTTAGTCAAGCTGCAGCAAACTTATGCACGATACCGGAGCATGAAGTCCAGAATGATTTGTTAGGTCCTGTTGTTTTGTCACCATTAAAGGACCCCAAAAAAGAAACGAAAGAAATCCAAGAAATCGCTGATCACTCTGATTGTGACGAGCCGAAAGAAAAACTGATATCTTCGAAAACAGTCGATTTCACCAAAATTCCTATTGAGAAGCTCCCGACCGTCATTATCATAGGGCGTCCAAATGTTGGGAAATCTGCATTGTTTAACCGGTTAGTTTTGATCTTACTGGCATTATAGTCCTGGAACCCTTACTTTTAACTATTGAAATCAATATCATGCTTATCTCAGAATAGGAAATCAAATTTATCATTTGTGTGATGCAACACTTGTAATTTTGAACTTGGGCTCTTGGTGTCGCAGTTTGGTTCGGAGGAGGGAGGCTCTTGTTTACAACACCCCTAATGACCATGTCACACGTGACATACGGGATGGTGTTGCTAAATTGGGTGATTTGCGGTTTCGTGTTCTGGATTCAGCTGGCCTGGAGGCAGAGGCGTCTTCAGGTTCTGTTCTTGGGAGAACTGCTGCCATGACAGAAGATGTGCTGTCAAGGGCCCACTTTATTCTCTTTCTCATTGATGCAAGGTTAGACTTTTCATGTTTTCTTGAATACTGATATCAGTGATGCTTGTGAAACTTTATGGGGTTGTATACAGGGGCAGACGTGACCCCTCAAACGAGAGGGCACATTTTAGTTTTATCAAAGTTCAAAATAATAATTATAATACGATTCAGTACGGCTAATTTTTTTTAAGGTTTTGTTGATGGATGGGACTAGAAGAAAAGGAAAGTTACTAATATTTTAAATATTCAAATTTAAACGCGATAACATATTTAGTCGAAACGATCGATCCCATAACTTATTCAAAATTGTGGTATTTAATTTTTAAACAACTATTATTTTTTCATAATAAATATGTAATACTGGAAGTTTAAAAATTTTTTTCTCTTAATGCTGAAATTACAGTATCAAAATTTGTAATTTTTATACATTATATTTGTAAATATACAAAATAATGTAATTGTAGTATTATACATATCCTCATACAATTCTTCTGTTTTTAAAAGCTACACATTCATGCGCCTCTCTAAACCACGCCTAGTCGTATATGTCTTGAGACCTACAATAGTACAATGTAAAATGCAGATGTCTTGAGTGGATGTAATATGGTGTCGTTGGGGTGAAGTTTTGAGTAATTATAATTGGGGTTCCTTATAACTATGTGTCACAGATTACATCGTTTGACTTCTCTTCCAAAATGAATTAGCATGTAATTTGTTTTTATCATTTGCATTTTGAATTTAGAGATGGACTGCAACCCATGGATTTGGATGTTGGTAAGTGGTTAAGAAAGCATGCAGCGGGTATCAAGACTGTTGTCGTAATGAATAAATCAGAGCTGCTTGATGACATTAATGGTACTCTAGCTTCTGCTGCTGCTGAGGCTTATACATTAGGGTTTGGTGATCCCATTTCTCTGTCTGCTGAAACTGGGTTTGGGATGACGGAATTGTATGCAGCTCTGAGGCCATACCTGGAAGACTTTGTACTCAAGTTCATTGATGGTAAATCTCTAGGATACTATTCTAGGCTTAGAAGTTGTTCCCCCTTCTTTCTTAGTAACAAATTTTGATATAATATTCTATTTACTCCATTAACTCTCATTTTCATCTAGTTTATATATAGTTTTTGTATGCTTGAAGGTAGGTTACAAATGAAATTTTTGGTATCTGTTTCCCTTTGATTGGGGCAGACAGGTGATAGCAATGTATTGGATTATTTGGAGCTGGATTCTAAGGTTTTGTAGCACGATAATTTTTTGCGTCTTTTATTTGACTATATACAATGACGAGACTATCAATATATAGGAAGGTTGAGGAAAGAGAAGTAAATACTTGTACTGCCTTTCAGTTGATCAAACCAAGTCGTATGGAGTTGAAAGCTGCACTTGTACGTAGAACACGAACATATGCAGCAATAAGATACTCATCTTGTGGAAATTACAAATATATTTGATTCATAAAACTCCATAATTTTCAGAATAAATGTACATTTTCTATTTGAATTCAATCCCTGAAGTACTAAAGGAGTTAAGAAGCACTCCAGATATATTTAACTATGTCCAATTACTCGCATGGTTATTAACTGCTGATCCAAATTATTTGTTTCCAAAGAGAGTGGCATTTCGGAAAAGTCTGTCCAAGTCTGAATTTTTTGTGTTGTAATCCCTTATATTTTTTATCGACTAACCCTTTTTTGTTTCTAATAATAATAATAGATGAGGATGTGTTGGGCGACAGCTACTCTGAGGAAGAGGACATTGACTCCAAGCTTCCATTGCAATTGGCAATTGTAGGGAGACCAAATGTAGGGAAGTCCACTTTGCTAAATGCCTTATTACAAGAGAATCGAGTTTTGGTTGGACCTGAAGCTGGCTTGACGAGAGATTCCATTCGAGTTCAGTTTCAGTATGAAGGGAGAAACGTCTATCTTGTGAGTGTCAACAGTGTCAGTTTATGTAGTTCTTAGTAGGCTATGTGATAGAAAACCAAATCTTATGTCATGTTATAATCCAAGCACACGGAAGGAACTTTTATATATATACTCTCTCATTTGTCTTTCTTTCTTTGTTTCTTTATTTACTTCTCTTTTATTCTTCTTGGGTACAGGTCGACACTGCAGGTTGGTTGGAGAGGACAAAGCAGGACAAGGGTCCATCATCGTTGAGCATTGTGCAGACGAGGAAGCATCTCATGAGGGCTCACGTAGTTGCTTTGGTTCTTGATGCTGAAGAGGTCTGTTCTGTTTAGTGCCTGTCAATTCGCTCTAAATTTTGGAGTACTAACAGTCTTACTATCTTTAGATTATACAATAATTGTGCCTTTCTTTTGATCTCTTGTACAGTTCAGAACGAGTCTTCTGGTAAATCTATCTTTGTGTCTTGTCAACTTGTCACTTATATTATATGTGCCTTTTGTTTGTAAAAACAGATTGCAAAAGGTAGACGGAGCATGAATCATGCTGAAGTAGTCATTGCCAGGCGGGCTGTCGAGGAAGGGCGGGGTTTGGTGGTTGTGGTTAACAAGATGGATCTTTTGAGAGGGAAAAAGAATACAAAAATGTACGAAAGTGTTATCAATGCTGTGCCTGAAGAAATTCAGACTCTGATACCACAGGTCTGTCACTTTAGAACCCACCACAAATATCTAACTTATAATATTCATGCTGTCTGATACGAAGATTGCTGACATCTCATTTTCAAGCAGTAGAATGTTGCATTTCTTAGGTTATATATTATCATCCTTTGGACATTTTTTGAGATCTTATGGATATGCATGTGTGTGTGTGTTGATACATTGGATGCTTCTTTCAATTGTGCCCCAAAGATAGGTTTATTGTAAATTGACAATTGAGTAAACATATTAATTTCATTTCATCCCTTATTTAATTTGCATAGCTATCAACAAAATAGAATCACAAAAATGCAATCATTATCAATATAAAATGGTTAGATTAGGAAAAACTCCTAATGTTACTTTCCCTACAATAATAGTTACTCTTTTACTAAACCATGTGTAAAATGTAGACGTCTCTATCTTTGTGGGACGAAGGGAGTATTTGATACTCCCTTGGTGTGTCGTCATTCTGATTCTGGCTCTGCAATGAAATGTTAAATTCTAAATTATCATGTTAAAAATACTTCTATAGTATTTGACCTTGGTGAAAAAAATTGACAGCCTGCTTGAATGAAATCACTCAAAAGAAAGAAGATATTATTTTACATCAGTTTCATGTAATCTGCAGGTGACTGGTATACCTGTGGTATTTGTTTCTGCTATAGAAGGTAAAGGCCGGTTGTCCATGATGCGCCAAGTAATCGATACATACGAGAAATGGTGCCGCAGGCTGTCGACAGCTCGTCTCAACCGCTGGCTTCGCAAGGTTTGGCCCATAAATGGGATAATTATGTAAAGTATCCTTGAGTTTTGACCTTTTTG